TTTAGTGTTTACATTAAAGGCGCCTTAAGGGTCCTTTAGTGTTCACATTAAAGGGGAGGGGAATCCTTTAGCATTCACATTAAAGGCGTCTTAAAGGTCCTTTAGTGTTCACATTAAAGGCGAAGAGTGTTCGGGGATTTTTAATAGTATTTAAATAGAGTATTTATTACTCTCTCTACTATGTGCTTTGTTTTGAGTTGTTGTTCACAAAGTTACCACAAATAGAGCAAACTGCTACTACTCTCTCTACTACTTGAAGTTCTACATTATAATGACATTATAGAGTTCCTCTTACCCAGCTTTTTCAGAGTTATACTACAAGTTCTTTTGATGTTTTAGGACTTCTGTGGTACTACAACTTCTAAGATATCATCCTCTTCTGTGGTACTACAACTTCTAAGATATCATCCTCTTCTGTGGTACCTGCAGAGACCTTTTTGGAATCCGGCAACCACCAGTCTGGCAAAGCCTCGTGCAACTTGAGTGGTTCTTGCGGTACTCCCGATAAAGGCAAGTCGACTGAATCCAATCCCACTACCACTCCCACTACCACTCCCACTACCACTCCCACTACCACTCCCACTACCACTCCCACTACCACTACCACTCCCGCTCCCATTTCTCCTGATGCTGATGCTGATGATGCTGCTGATGATGCTGCTGAGGAGGCTGCCACCGCAGCCGAGCCTGATCCTGCTGCTTATGCTGTAGTCAATCGCTAGAACTAGAGATAAGCTTCTTCATCATAGTTCCTTTTCCTGGGAATAATTTAAGACTGATGATGAAAACTCTTCTCAAGACTGATGGTGAAAACTGGATCATTGACTATCTTGTTGTTCATGTTCTGACTAAATCGTAGTTGTTCAGGTTCTGGCCAAATTTTTGTCAGTCCTATTGTATATACCTCTACCTTTTTCTATCTTTCCTAGGTAGGTTGGCTCCACCACAAAAAAAAAATATCAGTATCAGACAACAGAGATCTATTCTATATGAACAAGCCTCGTTGGCGTTGAGTCAACATTATCGCCGTTGCGATCGTTGCGCAATACTCACTGTCACCCATGAACATATCTCTTGATACCCGTTAGGTCGATAATAGTATCGCACTCGTCTCTTCTCCGTCTCACCAATCTGTATTTATGCTGTATTCTCAGAGGACCATGTATTTTCGTTATGAAAGACTCTGAAGTTTTTTTCTAAATTTTATTTACTTATACGCACAGCCAGAAATAATATTATTTGGAAAAATCGGAATACATAATCCTTATGATTTTCTAAACCCTGCCACTGCCTCCTGAACCTGCTCCCACTCGCGCAACTGGAGATGGAGAAGGTGGTGGTGCTGCTGCTGCTCCTCAGCCTAGTGGAGATTCTGAGGATGAGGCTGCTAGGGTTGCTGCTGAGGCTGCTGCAGCCGAGCGTGCTCCTCCTACTTATGCTGTAGTCAATCGCTAGAACTAGAAATAGTCTTGTTCATTGTAGTTTCTTTTTCTGGAAATAGATTGTATATGAAGCCTCGTTGAGTCAAAGTTATTGCCATCGCGATCGTGGAACATCAATACTCACTGTAGTTACTACCCATGAATTTACTCACTCCTCTCAGGCTGAGACTGTACCGCATATCACACCCTATTGCGATCGTGTCTGGTCTCATAGCTTAGAAATAAGCTCGCACTCTGTTACACGTTAGATCGATAATAGTATCGCATTCCTCTCTACTTATCCCTCTCACGACCAATCTCTATTTCTGCTGTATCCTCAGAGGACTCCACTTTCTTACTTTCGATATGAAAGACTCTGAAAAATTTTTCTAAACTTTATGTATACACACAGTCGGAAATACTTTTTGGAATCGGAATACAGTAAGTTATTCAAGCAGTCGCGTTATCCAGGTAGAAGTCTGTAGGTGTATTGGCTCTTCAGCAGCCAACAATGTCCGCGAGAACACTCAGCGGGCCCTAACCTAACCTAACCAATCCTCACGATTTTCTAAACCCTGCCTCCTGCGCCTGCTTCTGGTGCTGCTGAAGGAACAAAGGCGCAAACCATCTACCACATTTCGGACCTGCAAGGACTCCACTGGGAATTTTACAACATGTACCAGGGCAATCTCTTATGGAAATTGTCGTACAGTATTTTAGAAGAGGTAAAAAGATTAAACGGGCCCAGGTTTTTCTACGGCAACATGCTCAGTCATACTGAACTAGTTAAATTTCTGTTTATTCTGTCACTGTAGTTCGTCGATCATGTGTGCTATATTCGTCAGATTACGATCTTCTGTAAATACCAACACGAATACCAATCATGAAGACTACTTGATGTTGGGAACCCAGCGAAGGCTTCCCAACATATCAATAGATAGGTATGGTTCAGGGGCTAACTATAGGGTATTGGTGTCGATTCATCAATTAGAAGTAGCACTCACATTACGTCCACCATTGTCCATCGTCTTTCCTCTTCATTGCGCCCGAGAGCGGATATCTACGCTTTTACCGGTGACTACTCTTACAATGCGGGATTTGCAGATTAAGGCTACTGTTGGAAAGAATGATAGATGAATTCCTGGTTTTGTTGTAGCATAGAAGATGAAGCATTACACAGAGTTGAGTAGGAGTTTAAACAGGTGGCCCATCATCCTCGGAAGCGAGCAGGTGCCGGTGGGGCTCGTTGTGCAGGATCCATAACCTAATCTAACCTAACCTAGGAGTGCTTTACTCTTACTCACGTGTAGTTGTTGTACTTTTACCGCATGAGCTTCGTGACGAGTGCTAGGCACTTTAGGGAAGCAATCAGGACCCTGCAGTTCTACTTGTAGCAGCATTCGCGCTGACGCTGATTTCGTCTATGAAAGACGCGAAATTGCAATTGCAGCATCAATTACCACAAAAGATTGATGAGGAGCGCGACGTCGAGCTCGAGCCTCGATGATCTTGCTCTAATTTATGACAAGTTTTTACTGCTTTTTTAATTAAATAGATCATTTCGCAGGATCAGTTTAACCAAACGGAGTTTAACAAGGTTTCTCTCTCTCTCAACTCAGTTCTTGTTTTTTAACAGCATATGCTTTCGCAGAAGTCGTGTTCGTTGTAGCCCAACAAGCATGACTAATATACTGCAGAAAATACGATTAGGTAACTACTACTTACCTTTTTATTTATTAGTCTACTTGTTTGTCAATTCTAATATGTTTTCTGCTGCACCCGGCACAAGGGACGAAAAGGAGGATCCATTGACCTACTTTCTCAACTGGGTGAAGTTCCTGAAAAGCAAGAATTATGGCTACCTGATGCACCCTCGAAACTAGACTATGCTTATGCTTTGCTAGTGAGGGTCTTTCAATCAAGAGCGCAATATCTAGCTGCTAAACGCACCCCTCTCCCTGGCTATTCTTTTCTTCTTCTACTCTAAAAGGTCTCTAGGGCTACATAAGGAAAAGCTGATCTGCATATTCTCACTCCGTCGAGAATTGCGTATTCTCACTCCACCGTCGAGAGTCTAGGAGTACTCTTTTTTTCCTACCGAAGAGGATACTTGGCCTAGCAGCTGTTTGTTTAAGCGTTGGCCCACGCCTGTTTACTTATCAAGCGAAAAATATTTCGTGTTACCCTCGTGATTCTAGTACGAATACGATCATCTTGCTTTGCTCTAAAAAAACCTCTTCCAGCATTTTGTGATGGTGAATGGCGACCACGATACGCGAATTCATATGCTGAAGTCAGGGCAGCTGAAGACGTTGCATGTACCCAATTATGGAGAGCATCAATTACTACCTTACATGATGCTTGTGTATTCGCATGGTTTTGACTTAGACAAGCTATGTTATTAATCCCAGGAGTCTCGTCCTTACAGATACAGACTCGACGCATCTCCCTGGTCGATATAACAGTAGCTACTTTCATCTATGCTTCAAGCCGTACCTGCCAAAGAAGAAACTATGTGGATCCTCTGTTGGACATGATTCATTGATAGAATGACTATTTTCTGAGGGAAACCTAATCTTCATGTATGAACTGTGTGACTTTCTGAGCCTCTTGCTGCTTCGTATCTGTGATACGTATTCATTGTACATACCATCTATCTAATATACAACTTCCATGGTATATCTAGATACAATGTATTCGAAAACTCAAAATAACCGAGTTACTAACTGAAATAAGGGAGGCAGCTTAACGTCAAGGCTACCCTTCCTTCTCATCAGTATCTCGGTTATTCTGATCAGTTACTTGCTTATTTCAGTTTTTCGAATACTTACATGGTCCATCTATCTATAGATTGATATATACATGGTAAATCTAATACCATAGTGATGGTACATGATCTAGATCTAATCAACTTCCGAAGCAGTGCCGTCCGAAGGAGAGGCCAAACAAAAGTGGCCAACGCTTTACGAGAAAGAATATCTTGGTAAGACCGAACCGAGTCCGCCAAACGACGAGGAGCAGAAAGGCTCCGCAGTCGCACGGCCTGGATGGACTCTGTGGGAGCGTGAGCGAAGGGACAAGATTATGCTGTTTGTAGTTGCTCGAAGATTATGCTGTGTGTACTTAGATAGACAGATAGCTAGCTAGCTAGCCCTAGCTAGATAGAGAGATAGAAGAATAGATAGCTAGCCCTAGCTAGATAGATAGAGAGGTAGGTAGATAGACTAAGGCTTGAAAAGCAGATACTTATATCAGATGGATCGATGAATCAGATAGATCAGCTAAAGACTAAGATACCTTGACCTTGAGCAAACCTTTTAGAAGGGTATAAATCTGGTAGCTTTTTTCTACACAGTAGATATTTGAATGAAACAATACACAGCTTATCCCATGCAACAATACACAGTAGATATTTGAATGAATCAGGGTGATAATTTGAATCCCATTCCACTTGGTGAGTACGCTGGAACCAGGACAGGCAGTCGTCAGATACGCATGCAGTCACAATCTCTCAACTCTTGCATTGCGCCTCTCGTCGCGGATTTTCTCAAAAGATGATTTTTGTGTGACCGTTCATCTTTGGAACTCTCATACACATCCTCAAGGAGAAGTTGGAAGACGCCAACGCTGGAGACTACATTCACTATCTTATGGCGCACACCCTAAAGTTTTGGCAAAACACACTCGTCTGGTCAACTAATCGGCATAAAGAGACGAGCAATACCAATATCTAAGCATATCTGAAGAAAATTTTTGTCATTGGAACGTACGAAGGATTCACTCACCAAAATGAAGGCCGCGAGTAGAGAAAGGTATGTTGATGTGCAACTCGATTTTGCCTACTCGAGATACTGCTCGAGCCCTAGCATTATTTTCCTTTGTGGTTTGGTCTCTAAGATCTTGATTGATGAGGAGAAAACTATCATGGGTGTCAAATTTTACGGTACAAGTTGGAAGCCTTGGTGGGATGGCAGCTTGTGCTCCCCCTTCGACGAACGAAAAAAGTACTTGAAGACTTAAAGTGAGCGAGTAACCTCAACTAGAATAGCGCTACATTAATCATTGCTCATCTCATGACCCAGTGTGCTCGGTCATTTGAGACTTTCGAACCAATGCATCTTCGATAGTCAGAACTATTCAAAAACGACTGCTTGTGTGGAGTCGTGAGCAGTTGTGTAGAAAAAATGCATCAAAAAATACCACACAGATATGGCTGTGAGATACACGATGATAACGGGGGCTGGAGCTCCATACGAGATAAGCGATTGGGGCGGGTCCACGACTATGATCTGATTCCCAATGTTATGGCCGCGAACGAAATAATACCTAGTCCTAGGTGGACTACAACTACTTGTTTGATGAAGATCTGCTCTTGAAAGAGATCATTCATACTTAAAGATATTGCGTAATCTGACCGATCAAGGCCATCGACAGAGTTGACCGATGATCAGCCAGCGATTGATGCGTGGACATCGCATCACTCTAAACCCAACGTGGAGGTCGTGCTCTCGCATGCACCGGCGACACCCACAGTTCCGCAACAGTACGCGGACCTGAAGCTGGAGGAGGACCTCGAACAAGGGCCTATGGCGCAACCACTAATTGATCCTAGATTGAAGTTGAACGACTTAAAATGGAAATGGCGGCTAGCCACTGAAACTGGATTCTTGATTCTTCAGTTCAGTCATCTCAAGTAACGTTGATAGAGGAGAATGAGGAAATGATAATAGTCAGTAGATGATGATTGCGTCAGAACTCTATTAAGTACTTACTCAAGTAGTGCATGCTGCTGTTGATGTTATTGAATAGCTCATCTTATGACTCGAAGTCGAATGGTGTCTGCCGTGGTGTATTATCATGTTGCACCCCCTAGCTTGAGCGACGTCACACACACTAGCAACTCACTGCAGCAGAAATAGAAAAGGAAACTGATCCCGCTGGTAGACTAGAAGCAATACTAGAGATGCGAATTATGAATGATCGTCAGTGACTAATTTCTATATATTTTATAAAATCATCATACACGACACTCACAGCACATCTAGTGCTAGAAGTTACATACGACTACTGCAAAAACTAAAACCGAATATTTTTATACTAGCACATTTACGACGCCGACATTTCTCATCTTCGTTCATCTGATCGTAATCGTCTCACAATCTTCACTGAAGAAACAAGCCTTCTCTTCAGGGGCACCATTCATGATAAGCGCAGGCGATATCCCTGGGTTGAAGGATAAGCTTATGATGTGTGTGAATTAGCTCAGAAGCTGTGGCTGAGTAAGGAGCTAGAGAACACGTGTCTAGCTTTTAGTGGTACAAGCTTGACTTGCTGTACAAGGGTGAAGCATAACAAGCCTATGAAAAAGAAACGTGTCAAGACCCCTCAACATTCGCATTTCCTTCTAAGCAAAAGTTTTTTGTCGGAGTATCCGAAGATGCTGAGAAAGTCAAAGGATCCGGGAGGAGTTGGAGCGAAGCGGATGCTCTCATGACTACTGACTGTGGGGCAGCTGGCATTCTGTCTCGAGCCTGGGCAGCTGATTATGATCAAGTTTCTTTGAGATTGATGCCCATGCACCTTCTCGTGGGTTGGCAGACCTAATGTGTATCAGGGAAGCACTGGCTCACAGAACGCTAGTACTCCAGTAAGTATGTTCGTTTGAGAAGATATAGAGTACCTTGGTCTTCCTCGGTCCACCTCGTCGCTATTTCTAGAGCAGATTTCAGGTTCATGAAAGGGACGTAACTTGCGAACGAACCCCCGCGACCTCGTCAAGTAAAATTCGATAGCCTCTAATGTAACATGGGAAGCCTCGTTCCGATCCACTGGTCACGCGGTTCGTATGCGCTCGCCAAAAGGCTGCATTATGGCGTTCTCATGAGATAGACCTTGATCAATCAACATGGCTGTAAACTTTTTCGCCCTAGTGCATTAATGGAGAGGCTTTGTTTAAGGTCATTATATATTTAGATTATTTAGAAGTTCTGCACTATCGTGCACTATATGACGACTCCTCTGCAGTCATTGCGCTGTGATAGTTTTTTTGTATAATACTTGTTCATTGATGCGGGGCATCATAGGTCTAGCAACTAGAACTACGCGACGAAGAAACTTGGTCTGCCCTTGACTTAAGAATGACCACGGGGCTGGGGAAATACTTGATAGTTTATAAATTGATAGCTAAGTAAATGAAAATAGCAAAAGCGGCACTTCTTTGGAGATTTGAAGCTGAAGGCATTCATCTGGATTCTGGGACATCAAGGTACAATATTTATGTTTGTAATTCGACAGCCCCGGCGCTTGGTTAGTGATAGATAAGTACTTGGCTGACTTTTCACGTTTCGTTTTTTGTTTTTTCTAGTTAGGTCTGCTCGCTCCACCACCTAAAAGCCAGTGACTCCGAAAGCACCAGCAAAATAGCTCTAATATGCGGAGCTTCCGAAATTGAAGATGCTGCTTTCGGGACATGAATCGTTGAGCCTTAAGGTGTGAGTCTTGAAGAGCCGATATAGATGATACTTACCAGCATAGTCTTAGCTAGGCTAGCTATTACTAATATATGAACTGCTTATATATAATGAACATTGTAGGTAGGGCCACGTTATGCATGGGAATAGCGTCGCATGCTGTTTCGTCGCTCTGGACGCTAGTGTCCGATTTTACTTAATGCGTCTATTAACTATTTCCAGCACTGAAGTAGTTATGCACGCGCTTCGGCGCGCTCATCCAACCATCTTCTTCACCCTCAGTATAATTATTCTTCTATATTTTATATGCGCTTTCGCCCTGACGGTCTCGCGACTCTAATTTCCGTGGTGTTCTTGTGGTCAAGTGGCCGAATGCCCCAGATGGCGCTGCTGCCAATACTGCTGCTGCTTCGTTTCTAGACCTGGCCTCGAACGTGACTGCATCAGCACAAGGTGTCTTTTTATGTCATAGCATATCTTCTTCACGTACAACATTTAGTCTGAGTGTGCCGAATGGCCCTTATGCCCTAGCGACACCTCTTCAAGAATTACCACCCACGGGCACGGGTAATGCTTCTGCAGCGGGAAGGACCGCGACAGAAAACGCGGGTGGAGGCGAGAAGGAGGGAAGAAAAGGGGGGAAGGAGGCATGGGAAGGGGAGTGGGTGGAGGAGAAGGAGCAAGGACCGCAGGGGCCGGGAAGGCGATGAAGCTGAAGGGGGGGTCACGCGTCACACAGGAAGAAGGAGGGAAGGCACAGGCGCTGCCCGGAGGGGGAGAAAGGTAACCGGCGGGGGAGGGCGAGGGGGCGGCCAAGTTACGGCGCCCCAATGTGTGGCGCGGCGACAGGGCCGAAGCCGCCGGCCGACCCTGACCCAGGCCTGCCGGGTCTATCTAATGCCCCTGCGAAGCGGGCGGCGGCCGTCAGCACGTAGCGCACCCACGTCGGCCCCCTGCTATTTGCCCGCGGTGCCGGCTTGCTAGTGCGCGCGGAGCCGCTCGCGCTCCTACGCGGCTCTCTGTGCTGTCCTCTTCCCCCACTCGGCCGGTGACTGTAAACTAACTGGCTCCGCGAAATTGGTGCAGGCCGATCGGACAAGCCGCGGACCCACTGGCTGCAGGGGCTTGAACTTCTTGAAAGAGCCAGCACAGATAGGGGGGCTTGCCTCCCACGCTGCGCCTGGTCTTTGTTTCGGTGGCTGTGCCGTGTTCGTTGGGCTTGACGCAGAGGGAGGGAACGAAGAACGAGGCCGCCCCCTCCGCTGGGAGTGTCGTCTCCCTTGAGGGGGGCGGCCGGGGCATGACTGGCGGAAGTGCAGCTGCCATGGCCTTGCAGCTTGCTAGAGGCAGACTCTGCAGCAGTCGGTCCCCCGGGATGGCGCAGCGCTGGAAGCGGGTACAGCGTGCGGGCCGCCAGCGTGTGAGAAAAAGAAACCAAGCGTGTGGCGGTGGGTGTGTTTCTTCTTTTCGTTGGTTCTTACATACTTAAATAACCCAAGGCTTGGCTGCGGCAAGGCTTGTCGCGTGAGGGTGAGGGCTGTCGCTGATCCAATCGAACCTTGCACCCCCAAGCTTACACTAATAGACCTGGCGCCAACTTCCCTCTATTTTCGTTTTAGCGGGGGGCCAGGACGGTTTATGCACATAATATAGTACAGCAGTTGTGTAGTGCTGCATCAACTAGTAGTTGCACTTGTAAGCTTCTTTGTTGTATATTTGTTGGCCATAACCCCACAGGCGGCGGGACCGAAACACAGCTGGCAGGCCCCTCTTCCATCCGTCATTTAAGGCTTACCGTAATCTATCCACCGACTGTCAAGGGCATGACTAATTTTGGGGGTGGCCGAGTAAGTGGAGCGCTATGAGACAAAGTGAAAAACGAGAAGTTTTACGTCCTCAAGGAACAAATGAAGTGGAAGATGTTTATTGAACCCATTGGTTTACTTACTTACTCACCCTTGTAGACCTTTGACAAGAAAAACTGCGCCCACTCTCAAAAGTCGCACTTTCGCTTTTGGCTAGATTAGCTTGGGAATTCAGTGAGCTACTTTATTAGCCAGCGAAGCGAGCCTATGGAGTTGGAGATGGATCCCGGCTCCGCTCACGGCCAGTCCGCAAGGCCTGTGCAACTCAGGGCCATAGGGTGGCGGCGTCTCGGCCCCAGGTCAGGGGCGAGGCTTGTACTCAATGCGGGCTAGGTCCAAAAAGGGGGTCTTGTAGAAAACATTCCTTCGCTTCGTCTGAAAGCTTGCTTCGGAAAGCTTCAGGGGAGAGTTTTCTATGCTGGTTAGCTTCAAGTTGGGCCCATTTGGCCAAATGTGCCCTCATCCATCTCCGTGACCCCTCTGGAGAGTTTGAGGGCATGTTTGGGCAAAGTGTCCACTTTGGGACGTAGCCCGCAATAGGCATCCACTTCAAAACAAAACGAGGCCCCAGAAGGGTCCAGTCGACTCTTCTGGAGCACCCATCTCGCCACCTCCTGAGCGAGTACGAACTGCGTAAGCACGTTTCCCAAGAGAACCCGCATTGCGTACTGGTTTCCAACTTGCACCGAATGAAGCAAGCTAGGGCCCCTCCATGGCCAAGCAGGTGGCTGCACCCCACTGACAGCGGGGAACGAATCAGCCAACAAACACGATGGAAAGGGTGGGGCTGGGTGAGACGCGCGCAAAAGATGGATCGGAGATTCAGGCCTCGTCGGCTGGCCTTGAGCGGAGCCGGGATCTTCATAAACTAGCTTCGCTAGCTAGTAGAGTAGCCTACTGAAGCTGTTCTAGCTAAGCTAGCTAATAACAAAGCTGTGACCCTTGATAGTGGGTGCAGTATTTTTTGTCATAAGACCGCTCCACTTCTTTTTTGCGGTCGTATGGAAATGTCTTCTAAAAATGCGCCATCGTGGAAATTTGGGAGGCTTGTCGCGTGGTTCATCTACCTTCGTGCAAACTCGAGCTGCAGCAGGTACGCTATTTCCCAGTAGCTTGTGTTCAATGTTTTTTTTATGGAATCTAGTGAGAGGGTCGCGTAGAGAGTGTTTATTTATTTTCATGTGATTTTGAATAATTAGCTGGTTGCGATTGGTTTCCTGTTCCTGTTTGTCGATTTTTTTACTTGTTGTAGCCCTAACATTAATGCTCTACACTATTCTAGCTTGGTTTTGCTTGTCCGTGCGACGGCGCGGAGTACTACTTCCAAGCACTTTGTTTCATCAACATCAAACAGAAACATGCTAAATGACCTCAATCATGCTCATGGCAATCTTCATCGTCCCAACCTTTATATGCTGCTGATGCACATGCTGAAAACGTAAACACGGCATTTCTATCTTTTTTTTAACAGGACCTGTGGTTTCTGGTGGCGTTGATTATCAGTTTTCGAGCCTCGAGAATCCGTTTTCTGGTCTTATGGCCGCTCTCGGAAGGTAGGAAAAGGAGCATCCTTCCACCTGTTTGATGCTCTACGTTACTATTGTAAGCAGGCCTTTGGCTGTTGCAGTTCTAATTGTCACAATGCAGACGTGCCATCTGCTGACTTTGGCTACACTCCTGCGAGTGGCGACGCGGGCGCGGCGCTAGAGAACGTATTCTTTGCGAAGAAGGATGAAGAAAAGGACGCGGGAGAAGAAGATGGCGTCGCAAAAGTTGTGAGGACTACAGTGTCTTATAATTACGGCAAGAAATATGAGTAATCAAGGTAGTAGTTGGTAGTAAGGATTGGTGGGTGAATGAATTTGATTACTCAGAACTCTGATTTAGATTCGGAAGTATGAAAAACGAAACACTTCAATTAAAGAAGGAAAGCGACGTGGCTAATTTTCGGCGACAGATGTTGATATCATGACCGCACGACATAGAAATCCATGATAAATGCAGGAAACGTGTATCTGAGGTACTAGGGTTTGTGTTGTGTTAAAATGGCTTCTCTTGCTTCCATTAGTAGTGCGCGCGTTCGTCCTAAAGTTGTTGTGAATTTGATGACATGGAAAATACTTCTCTTGAACTTCATCACTGCGCCCAGCAGGCGTGACACATTTCGCTAATACTCGGGAGGCGGGAAGACGGTGAGAGACGCACTCCAGAGCGCGAAATTACGGAGAATATACTTTTTGTGGTTGCTGCTCTCGTTTCTGTTCCCTACAGCTTCACTCTCTTCAAATATGTTGAAAGATTGATAAGAAAAAGATTTAGATGTGAATACAAAAGAGAGGACCGTTCATCTCGTTCTCTCATGATCTTCTTTGCCAGGGCGTTCTGGTTCTATTTTGTACATGAGGGCATAGATCTTGAAGTTGAAGACGATCAGGGCCAGTGGGGACGATTCATACCCATATTTATTGCTCGAGGACGAGCCGTCACCTGAATAGGTCGAGACTTTCAAGGTGACATCTCTATACACTTAGTCCCTGATCGATAAGAAGTCATCACGGGTGGTGCGCGGAAGTGGAATGGCAACCTCACAGAAATAATCCTCTATCAGTCCATCTCTTCGCACTCTTGTGCATTCGCTAGAGAATCCTCGTACGAAGTCGACGACTCCCTCACTTACACGACTAAGTTTGATAGAAGCAATCGTAGTGTTCTTGTTCATGTTTTTTATTACTTAATATAAGGAAGCATGAGAGCCCTCCAATCAACTTCAAATGTCGTGCTCACAATAATAAATAGGTGATTGACTACTACTATTTTTTGGTCATCTGTTTTCGTCAACATTCCGCTAGTCGTGATCCCTTTTTGGGCGCTACTATACTTACATATGAATGCATTTGATCATCCTGAACTTGAACGTAATTTCTCCTCCTTCTCCTTCTGATATAGTCCGCAGCAGCACTAAGATGAGCAAACGGTGAGCCATGTACCTCCGCCGACCCGGTGAGACGGTATCTCGATGCCATCAAGGAGAAGAGCTCCGAACAGCAGATCGAAGTCTTTTCGAACGCTGCCCAGAGGACTTGTGCTGGAACCGACAAGGTGGCGTGGTCCCTCGCGTTGTTTTTAAGGCGCCCAGGCTCCTTAATATTCATCTCACTAGTGGACTCGACCTTGGTCGCACCTTGTCAGTCTATCATTTTACATCTGGGTCACAACCAAATACTTTATTTCATACTTTGTGAGCAGGGCTTTCGGGCTGTTGTAAGCCAAAAGTGTTACAGATGTACCAGGGAGGGAGCCCCCCTCAGTGGGTGGAGCGGTGGTAGCGTCTGCGCGCCCTTTTTTTCGCGGTGGTGACATGCACTGCAAGGACTTACGAGGGCGAAGACCTCAAACGGCGGAGCCGGAGGCCCCTGGCGGCTCTCCGCGTGTACCCCACAGGCGTCTGGACTCTTGGACCCTATCTATCAGGGGGATGGCCTCCGGGGGGAGAGGGCTGGACTCCTTTGGCCCTCGTGGGGGGTGGAAGGCCTCCGAGGGCAGCAGGTGGCAAACTCCCCCAGTGAGGTCTGCATGGTGCATGCAGCACGGCAAGGGGGTCAAGCTTTGCCACCGTTGACGCCTTCGGAAGCCTTCCACCCCCCCCCCACGAAACTCCCCCAGTGGAGAGGAGCCCGCGCGCGGGAGGTCGGTAAGGTGCAGGCAACATGGCAAGGGGGCCAAGCCTTGCTGCCTTCGGGAGCCTTCCACCCCCGGCCTTCGGTGCTTGAACGGCTTCAGGGGCTTGCTTGGGCTCTGTAGGGTGCACGCAAGAAGCCGCGAGGGCGCGAAGTTCGGCGCTTGGAGGCTTTCCCAACTGGCAGTCTCTCGTGAAAAAGGGTCCGGGGCTGGAGCCCTCTCCGCAGAATGAACTTAGATCGGGGGGGCCTTCAGCCCTGAGCCCTACAACGTATATTATTCACAGCTTCAATGTGTCATGAGAAGTCGCGCGAAATATGCTGTCGCGACCCCTAGTTGTAACAAGCTGAGTCTGAAACTCGGCGAAGCTCGCTCTACTTATTAAAGCATAAGCATTTTGCGAGACTAGAGCAGACACCCTTTATCTCACTGACCCACAGCCCCCGTTCGGCAAAGAAGTGGGAATCTATCAAAGAGACCTCTAATTTACTGCGGACAACTGTTTCCAACGCCAGACGACTCTGCGAAACTCCAACACGTGACGGTATAGCGTTAATGCTACGATTGGGACTTCTTTTCAGCATTTGCGTGAAGGTTTGTTGAATGATTGGACACTTTGTCTGCAAGCGTTGGCGGCCACTGGGGCCACCACTGTAGAAGCGCGAGGGCCCTGCTGTAATGTAACTGCGCGTACTGCGCGATGAGGTATTCGCACTATCCAACTGGCCCGCGGGTGCATGCGTTCGGAACCTGTTATGCGCTTGCCACAGGTACGAAGAGACAGGTGTTGCTGCGAGGGGTCTGGATACTAGTACGAAGACCACCACCCAGCAGAGTGAAATCATGATGGTGACCAACAGACTCACGCACACTGCCGGGTCTTGCTGTTGGAATGTATTTGAACGAGAGTGATAACCAGGTCACCCGCTGATTTTGAGTAAAGTTCTCATGAACCACGTTAGTAAGTAGGCTCACGACCTCACAACAAACAGGTGGGCGACAAATTGAACAGCATTGCGTTCGAATTCAACGGAAAGGTGAACAAGGTGCCGGACCTTCCACCTAATGGTGGGTCCCGAGCCAGTACTTACCAACTGCGGGTTTATGGCAGCCCATTTTATATTTATATCGATGAGTATTCAAAACTGGGAGAAGAGGACTACTTTTGTAGACACGCCTGATGGTGATCTCAGAAGCTTCAGACTTTTCGTATACTCTCTGGGTGGATAAAGTAAGGAGCAAGAGCTCCATGAACTAATGACTTCTGCCAATGACAAGCCTCTTCCACCATAGTAAAGCTATTTCCCAATCTCTAATAGTCTTCGTCTCCTGGCCGCCTTCTGGCTCGCGGTGGAAGTGGGACGCCGTGGAGCGTGTTGTCTTTACGTGGTTTACAGATAGGTTTTTTTTGCTCTTTGTTCCTGCTCGTGGTTGTGTGTGGTCATCACTGCTGCTTGGCTGGGATGGTTGGGTTGGCGGTATTGTTGCTGGTCGCATGATTGGGAGGTGGATCGCTTGAAGGCACAAGCCCTCCCGGCTGCACAGCAAAGGACGCGCCGGCCAGATGCTTCAGTGCCAATCGTTTGACCACTCGCCGCCCCTGCGCTTGGTTCGTTGCTACTGATCTGCCGCTGCCCAGCCCTTGTGGCGGTGTTCGCTTTCCCTCTCCTTGCATTGGTCTGGCGCACGCTCCTTGGCAGCTATATATGTGCGCACCGGCGGCGCGGTTTTTTCTGAGGTAAAACGGCCTGGGCGGAGGGGTATCGAGAGGGGCAAACCAGTTCGGCACGCTCGGGGTTTCACTTTGTTGGGGATGAGGGGGGCGCAGATGTTCGCCGCAGAAGGTTTCCAGGCTTGGGAAATAGACCACCGCAGGGACCGCTGAGGTCGCCGTCGCCCTTGCAGTGGGATGAGAAGCTAGAGAGAGGAAAAACGCACCGGGGCGCCTCTGGTGGACCAGCTGCAAATCCCAATCGGTGGAGCTGATGCCGCTAGCCCTTGGGCATTTGTCTCCTTGCTTGATGAGCATGACGCCTGCTGGCTCTTCGTTTGCTTTTCCAAGGGCTTACTCCCTCCGCGAATTCTCCCCGGGTGCGTGGGAGCCAAGAAAAAGGGGAGCGGGATGACATGGGCAGGGCTGGCGCCGGGCCGTTTCTTTGTGCCCCTTTGTTGTATTGTGACTTGGGTGGGTATGTCATTTCGTTCTACTTCAGCATTTGAAGACGCGAGCCGGGCGGACGCACGCCGGCCCCCTGCTAAGCACCTCAGCCAACTGAAGTGGCCAAGCCTCGCCAATGCAGTCGTGGCCTAAGTATTTGAATCGGAAAGCACAGCGACCTCGCACGAGCTAGCTCTAACACACACGTACAAAGCCCAGAACGCCGAGTTATGTTGAGACCGAAAGAAATTATCTTGCATGTTGCCTTATTAATAAAATATGATGTTCCGCTTATCCGGCTCCATGACTTGCGCCCTCTCAGTCTCTTATTGTCAGAAGGAAACCTTTCCCTTTACACTTGCCACGCATCATCCATTGGCAGTACTTTTTTACAAAATGAATTATGCAAGACGATAAAGTGGAAAGAGTGCAGCTATGATTCGGAAATAGCCTAGCATAATGATACTGATGCCCGAGGCTTAGAAAAGGACCTCCGAAGCCATCTTGTGGAACGTCTTCTGGTTACCAAGGTACTTAGAGATTGAAGTAGCTGGGCCATAAAGTGGGTAGTTCACTGAGGCAACAGATTGTACAACTATTTCTGATGAAATGCCAGTGAAAGAACCTGCGGCACTTTATTTTTCTGACTGGTCTACGCTAGGTAGGTAATGTAATGTAGAAGTAACTAATAGATTACAACAATTAGTTAGCTAATCTACTATATCCACAAAACTTGATCTTCTTTGGACGGGTTTCCCATTGCGTGTTGGTTGTATCGTGGGTATCTTTGAGTACAACAACTCCTAGTCCTACTCGACATAGAGGACGCTCGATATCTTCATGAGACTGAGAGCCTAGGGCGACATAGATACTCATCCGGATTCAACGAATAACGTACTCATCCGGATTCAACGAATAACGTTGTCTTTTGCTACATGCTTTCATTCTAGCTCTCTGACTATGTCGATCAAATAAACTCGCAGTATCTACGGAGCTATGCCCAGCGTCTCGATCCGACTGAGGGGACCACGCAGGAGAAAAGCAAACTCAAAAAGTTAAGTCGACCATAACCACAGCCAACCTTTCTTTCTAAACAAGAAGGCTCGGGCTTCTCCTTAAATGTATAAACTTCAACAAGCTACAGCTGCCTTGAGCTCGATGATGATCATTTGTTGACAAGGATATGCTCCTTGTGCTTTCGAGTGGGCGATCGATGAATGAACTACTCCAAGCCAAGGAACATTCCTATGGACGTGAACTAGAGAGGACGCAGAATCAATATTATATTTATATATATTTAAGAAAAGTAGTTAGCGGGATACTTTAGGATACTTGTTGATAGTTGCCCCTTTCTCTTTCATATCTTCCTCCGGTCTGTCTTTTTTCTAGTTAGGTCGGCTCCACCACAAATATATATAAGAAAAGTAAAATGAATACGAAAAGGCACAAAACAAGGGTTAGGTGGTCACGAAATTCCATATCAGGGGCGGTCACGTGACATCATGATATGGCACGACTATGACGGTGACACGACGTGATTAGAAAATATGGAAGCCCGCCAAGCCAAGGAACACTCCTATTAGTCGAAAGATGCGAACTCTGTGGTAGAGAAGCTCTAAGAATCATCTTGGCGGAAACATCTGCGAGGGCTGTGCGTTTATGGCGGTGACGAAACGACTACATTATACTTATAGCATAGATTCTTCACCTATGACAGGCTTAGCGCGTTATTTGAGCAACGCATTATTTAGAGGCATGGTGCTTGGATTCTAGTACTGCTCTGTTAAAGTTCTGCTTTATAACGTGTTGCTAACGTAGTTGTATAGTCGACGTCTCCGACTGAGAAGTGAATGAATGAATGTTGCTAATAAGTAACGCGTTAAGGCTGCCATATTACCTTCAAGCCCAATAGTGCCCTTCCTTTTTCGGAGTCTCATGATAAGAAAAGGAAGGGCACTATTGAGCTTGAAGGGCACTATTGATTTTTCCTGCTGTTGGTCTCCCCTATCATGATATTATAAGAACGTCTTAAATCATAGGTTTAGTAGGTTTGCTGAAGCTGAACGATTCTGCTCGCTTTGCTCAGTTGAATTTTTTGACTGCACTAGTACAATTACTTTCTTAGGAGTCTCAACGATTTGTTGGTAGCCCGTCCTTCATGAATAAATCCTGAGGGTAAGGACGCGGACTCAGTCCCGGTCACGGAGAAGCGAGTGATTGCAGCCTACAAGGCCAGGGCAGTGCGTGAAGCCCTACAGCAAGTATACGGGGATTAAGAAGCGTCTGAAAATCATTATCAGTGTTTTTGAATACTTTGGTGGATTTTCGAAGTTTTTTGCGACGAACACAATGCGTTGTCGGTTCATGATGTCGATAGTTCTGAATAAAAATAGAGATACTACGTCTATTCCTTGAGCTGCAAAATTACTATGCCGAGGAGGGTACAGTTCTAGACCTTTGCCCGTCGTCTTACGGTCCTACGCTTCGCCAAGCGTAAGTTTTTGATTGTTTGTTGTTGCATAATTAGGGTGGAAGCAAGCATCTCTTCCTGCCAGTAGAATTTCTAAGAAAAAGCATGCTGCTTTCCCTCGTGGGCACGTCAATAAATCAAAGAGTCGCCGATCACTCAAGGACAAATCAGCCAATTAAGCGCGATTGGTCCTTGAGTGATTGGCGACTCTTTGACTCATGATGAGCATTAGTTCCTGACGAATGATTTCGGAGTCGGAAACGGAAGTTGACCTTGGTGAGCTAGCACCCATAAGAAGGTCAACTACGCCGCTCCGATCTCATTGCGAGCGCCTGCCTCTCTCCTTTTCTCCGGTAGGACCTTATGTGGCTGAAGTCAGGAATTTTTACTTCGAGCGCTCTGATTATAATAACTTAACTAAGCCTTTAGAGTCGTCAATCACTCAAGGACCAATCACCCAATTAATCATAATCTTCTTAATGTTTATGAGTCGTCTTAGCTCTTCTAACATCGACTCCCGGCAGAAGACCGAGTGGCAGCGGACAATGCCCCGTTAAAACCGGCATCTCGTGCTTCGCCAGGTGGATCCCCGCTGGCATTAGACACAGCACAAGCAGGCGCGGCAGCAGAGGAAGCAGCACCAGCGGCAGCAGCAGCAGCAGCAGCAGCAGCAGCAGCAGAAAGCTTCATCGAGGCAGCAGGCCTCGACGAAGTGTCTGTCTAAAGAAGAAGGACTACTAGTACGACCTGGGGGAGGTCGTAATAAGTCCTGCGGGAGGCAGGACTTGGTCGTAATAAGACCTGCGGGAGGCAGGTCGTACTAAGACCTGGGGGACGAGGCAGGTCATCATATATTTATAAAGATTTTTTGAGGGCGCACTTCGTCATATGAGGATTTGGGAGGTAGAGGGTCATCATATGAGGAGCTTAGGAAGCTGGTCGTGGGTTGTAGAATGGGAGATAAATAAAATAGAGATAATCATGGGTGAGTACTAGAGATAATCATAGGAGTTTCTTCCACTAGGTTATTTTTTTTTTCGGGATCTCGGAAAGGCTAGAGGAAGTCCTTTTTAGGAGTGCTTGCCAAGTGATCAATCTGATGAAAAAAGCTTTTTTTAATCATGTCCAGAGAGATGATCTTCGCGTTCTACTACACCTCGTCCTGCAGTACGATCTTCACACCAATCTTCTCCCGCAAATAACCATTCAACGCCGTCGGAGGCTTACTAACAGAGCATTCCTGAATGAGTTGAAGAAACATAGACTTATCAACTCTAGACTTATAGTATTCCTTTTATTTCTCAGAATCAGAGGGTCACCCTGGACTTCTTAGAAAGAAAAAGCGGAGGGTCCACCATGACCATCTGATTCCGGTGAACGCTCCGCTACTCGTTGTCTGTTCTTTGTGGACTTTCAGATAATGCTTGTTCATTGAAGGACGAGGGGCATCATGATCATCGGTCTAGCAACTAGAACTACGCGACGAAAAAACTTGATTTGCCCTTGACTTAAGAATGGCCACGGGGTTGAGGAAATACTCAGAATCAGAGGGTCAACCTGGACTTCTTAGAAAGAAAAAGCGGAAAGCCCACCATGTTGACCATCTGATTCTGAGAAGTAGCACCAGGTGGGCGGGGTGTCGGGTGTGCTTCTGATCTCACGGGTGTGCAGACCTGATTCGTACTATTTATTTTGGCATTTTTGTTTCCCTCGACGCGGCTGACTACATGCAGGGTTCCGAAGTAAGTAAGTACAATCATTGATTCCGCCATCGGGATGGACATGAATACCATTGCAAATACTAAGAACTGAGAAGTATAGCATCTTCCCAAATTGTGGGTCTCAGAAGTGTCTGTCTAAACAAGAGGACTACAACTAGTATGACCTGCGGGGGGCAGGTCGTAATAAAGAAGCCTGGGGGATGCAGGTCGACCTGGGGGAGGCAGGTCAGAATAAGGCCTGGAGAAGGCAGGTCAGAATAAGGCCTGGGGGAGACAGGTCATCTTCCCAAATTGTGAGTCTCGGAAGTCATAGCATTATGCAATACGCAGAACACTTCTCTACGGTGGAGCAATGAAAATCATGCATCAGCATGATGATCGTGCTCGTCGCGCTGACAATTCACTACAACGATGGACTAATATCAGAGACGCGTGTGAATTGCTGATGCTTTCTGTCTACCGAAAAATCGAAATAAGCGAGTAGCGAACTGAAATGAAGGAGCACGCAGTCACTGTCTACGCTCACGCTGCTTTTCTACTTTCAGTGTCTCGGTTGTCTTTCTGCTTCAGTTGCTCTTCTACTTTCATTATGACAATCAGATCATGTGCCTCGAGTAATAGCAGAAGAGTTGCAATATGTGGACCACTACTCCATTGACCGAATTTCTTATCATTTAGATTTACCTTTCTTTGCTCAGAGCAACCGTTTATCGAATTTCAAACACCCAAGAACTCAAGAACATTACCAGATAAGATTGCGAAATATTTTCAGTGACTTTTTCAGCATTCAGATACATCGGGCAGTCCAATCGTTATCAAAATCAAGCTATCATTAAGTAATTATTCATTTGCAACAAAAAGCATTACAACAGTTTTACGTCTACTCGAACAGTATTAAAGATGAGCATCAGTCTAGATCTACTCATTGATCGAGAATACGAAAGTTTGACAAGAGTAATTGTTCCCGTTTGAAATTTCGAAGAAGTGCGAAACATTTGATTATTCTTGTGCCGACCAGATGCGCATATAATGAGCACTCTCCTCTGCTGAGTCATTCATTGTGAATTTGTTTGCGCACGCGTTTATGTGTAAACGTAAAGTTTGATAAAAACTGTACAGGTTTTTATAGCCTGATCACGAACAGGAGGCGGACTAACATGACTAACCATGTGCATTCTGATTAAGATTGCCGCAGAAGTAGAGTCCTTATTTGTCATCGATGGCGGCAAATGTCTGAACTAATAATTGTACAGCTTTTTATAGTCATCTGAACAGGACTAACATGACTAACCACCATGATCATAAGTAATCAATTATCTAAGGCTACCACAAGTGCATCCTCGGCATCATCCTCGGCTTCTTTTCAAGGGCGGAAGATGAAAAGGGCTCAGGGATGGCCTCAGGGATGCGACGGCGGTAGCTCTCTCGTCATGACTAACTACCTACAAGGAAGCGAATCGAAAGAAAAAGGTCGATCCACTTTGATACGACCAATAGTACCAATCAATGAACATCAGTCCAAATTTTTCAAAAATATCCGTCTGCACCAGGCGGCCTACTTGAAGAAGATGCAAGGACAGCCGGCCCTACATCAAACATCGCTGAGATCAGCATCAGGAAAGTAGTGCGCTGGTAGGGTCGTTTTTCGATGCACAGACTGAATGAGTAGAAAGAAAATCAATTAATTTCATGAAAGAGATACACATACATCGCCATCCAATTCGAAATCGTTGCACAGCAAAATGTCGACTATCTTCTCAGCGCATCACTTGCAACTTATTATCTTCATCAACAATCCAAAAAAAT